TTTCCCTATTTTGTAATGGGAAAAGATTCAGTCTGATTCCATCTTCTCAGTAACCTTATTTTTAGGTATTAGATGTTCATTAGCTAATTATATCAACTTTTAGTCTCCCCTTAAGCCTTCTCCAAGCTGAATAAGTGTAACTCTCAGCCTTTCCCCACAGGAAATATGCTGCTGTGCCCCAGTCTTCATCATTTCAGTGGTCCTCTGCTGAACTCACTCCAACTTACTGATGCCTTTCCTATATTAGGGTGCCTAAAACTGGACAAAATATTCTATATGTATTCTAATGAGGGCTGAGCAAAGATGACTGTTATTTCCCAATATTTTTACTTCTGGATTTCTGTGATGCTCCTGTCAACCCATTCCTCTACCTGCAGAGGTCCTTTCACAGGGACAGTCATACACTTAGCCAAACTGTGATAGCACCCCAAGTTCAGTTTCCACTGCATACTTGGTGAGGATGCATTCTGTTTCCTCTAATCAATATCCAATCTGATTACTTTTCCCAAACCAACATTTTACAATTTTTCTGTTGTTACTACCAATTCAAAAGAACAACAAAGGGCTGGAGCACACACCACTCACTTAAAAACCAGCAGTTGAAGACTTAACAAGACTAGTTCTAGCAGTTCCACTGATACAATAGAAGGATAACTCCTCTGGAACTGAGGGAATGTCAGATATTTAACAGGAATGTTCTTAATCAACACTACATTACATTGGTGCCTCTGAGATGCCAAAATGAAACTCTGATAAAGGCAGTGGCTCATGCATTCCATGTTTATGTGCATCAGTCCCATGAAAAATGGTAAATAAAAGCCATGACACTGAAGGGCACCAGAATGCTGAACATACACACAGCCAGGGATACTTCCAGAGTAGTTACTTCAATTGAAGTATCATATTCAGAGACAATTTCTTTGTGTTCCACTGATCAGTTCTTCTGATTTGCATTACACTCATTAGAAGTGACAATGTGATAATTCCATTTTGTTTTTAAATGCTAAATATTTTTTTTGTGTTGACTTTGAGAAAACTGATAGTTTAACAAGGAAAAGGAATATGTTGCAAAAATAGTAGCAGACATCTAACCCTGAGCAGCAAGCATGAGTTTCTTTTAATAATGTCTAAGCAATTTAGAAACTGTTACAATTAAATGAAGGTACATAAAAACAACTGCCACAAAACATGCATTTAAATAAAGTATGCTCTGTATATTTATACATGTATTTCAGAGGGAGCACAGAAGCAGATCTTCGAATCTGAAAATCTATTAAAAAATCAAACAAAAATTCTGCACTTTGGAAAATGATGCCATCACCACAGGGATTTAAGCTCAAGTTAGTCTGCCCATGTTCCCAGCCAAGCTGATGATGTGCTGACCAGAAGTCACGTTCTGTTGCAGTAAAACCCTACCAGCAGGATGGTATCATTGCCGGGCCCGAGTTAAAGTATCATTGCAATAGTGAATTCAACTCTGGCCACCAGCTCCACCAGTGGTATCCCCAGTAGTTGTGTGTGTTTCAAGAATGACACTGCCTTGGGAGGCACAGGACCTACCTCCAGTTCTTGGTGTGAGGAGGACCGTCCTCCACACGAAGCAACGCATAGCGAGCCGCGTTCAGGGACAGTCCTCGGATGCCATCACCCCACTCCTTTTCCGCTCTTCAGGAAGCAGAGAAGATTCAGTTAACAGGGTCCCACTTACACACATTCAGTACATTTTCTCACGAGTGATAATACACATAGAAATGAACACTCTTCTTTGCACGAATGCATGAAAAAAATGTAATTTTGCAGATTTAAATCAAGAATGAAGACTAACGAAGGTGAAGCCACCTCAAGGCCCTTCAAGAGAACTGTTTATTAATATCTATTATGGTCTATTTTATTAATACTCAACAAGTTTTTTTGTAGTTGTGAGAGCTCCTTAAGTTGCTTTCAAGCACTAGAATAAGTGAGGGCTACTTAAAAGGAATTGTTTTAAAGCAGCAGAATGAATTAAGTGAAACTTGACTTTGTATGGATCAGTGTGTTACGTCTTCCCCCAACACGACTACTACATCTTTCTTTATTTCCTTTCCTTCCCAGCTTCTCTCCCAGATTAACCTAATGCTTTATCTGCCCTCCTGACCACTTTCAATCTCCCTACATTTTCCACTCCTCTTTCTCCCAATACAAAGCTATGCTATACACCAGGTAGCCAGACAAAAAAAGAACTATGAGTGCAACATGTTATTCTCCTTTGTAGGGATTCTACTGCAGCAAGGGGTCCACCTCATAGACCCTTCCTCCCCTCTTATTTCCACTTGTGAATTCTCACTGAACTTTGTTACCTCTAGTCTTCTTTTGAAATTCAGATGAAACAAGCCAAACTGAATTCAAAATCTAACAAAGAATAACATGGCAATGAAAACATACCCTGACAGACAGCACAGTCATGCAAGTTTCTTTTACTTAGTTATCAAAAATTAAAATTAAAACCTGAGGTTTTCTCCAGACAGCAGTTTTAAGAACATTTCAGGGTGACTTTCTCCCCACTGCCAAATCAGCCCCTGCATTTATAAAGGCAGGGAGAAAAGTTGTTAGGTTGCTGCAAAAAACAATCTCTTTCTGCAGGGTAAATGTGCTGGATATGTGCCACTTTTGTAGAGTCTCTACACAAATTTGGGTACACATATAATTTTATCTATGTGCATACCTACACACACACAAACAGAACTTCTATCATCTGAGCCAACTTTCTGGCTAAAATAGGCAAATTAATTTCCTTATAATTATTCCAGTAAATGAAGCTGCTAGAATACAGGAAAGCATCTAATCTGGAATTTGAGATATGAAAAGATGGAGAACCCACAAGGTGGAGTTCATACCAGCTGATCCATTTAAGAACTGTGCTTAATCTCTCATCAAAACAACTTCCACTCCCTCCTTGAAGATCTTACTATTTTTCCTTACTAGAATCTTTCAGCACTGAGAATCTTTCCTTAGAAAGGGAAACCACACACATTACTGATCACAATCACTTCTAATCTTTCATATGTTGCTTAGTTGCCCAAAGGTTCTTTGCTGGGATTTTTGGTGTTGGGGTGGGTTTTTTTTAAAATGAAATTAGCATGGACTTTAACTCCCCTACATGTACAGCAATTATTTGAGGTGTGGCTCTGTATGTGCCCCTTATCACATGATATGCATACAATGCAAAGTATGGTGCAAATTAAAGATTAACTAAGCCTTTAGAAACTAGATAATTTTCAGTGGCTGCTCTTGATATTCGGTATGATTCACCCTAAAAAGTGCTAAAGTCCACATAAGAGTAGAGTTTTTCAACTTTAGCATAATTTAATAATAATTTAACAGATTTTTTTATACCTGCTGCTTGATATTAAAACGTGATGTTCCGAAAGTACCAAACCTTTACCTCATAAGCTCTGCTCAAATGAAGATTTCCAGCTTATTGGTTCATATTTTGATTAGTTCTGGCTGTTAAGAAGTTTGGAACAGAGCTTCAAGAGCAATTAGAACCTGAAAAGGTACGACCCTGGACACAAACAGGACCTTACTTTGTTTCAAGGAACACTCTTAATTCTATTACTTCAGTTGTATCTATTTTACACAAAAGTGCTTTTTGATGAACTTTAAAGACATGAAATATAGAATAAATAAGATATATGGTCTTACCCTCTATATTCTATGTATTTGTATATGCATCCTGCGATTAGCATGGCAATCAAAGCATAGTACCAAGAGCAAATGAACATCAAGGCAAGACATAAACTCATCCCCACGAATGAGAGGGTCCTAAAAGAAACCATTTTTTTCCATTTTTTTAAATAGGCATGCAAATGTTCTACAAAGTCTATGTCTTATTCAAGCTAACTTCCAGAAAGGCCTTTCTTCTTCAAAGGCCATTCCATAGCTACTATACAAATAAAAATACCTTAGTTCGACATAAATAATACAATTGATCTAGATGTAACAAGAGATTTGCTACGTGTCTCAGTTCTGAAACTCCACCAGTGCCTCTGAGTGAGGTCAGTATCTAAGCACATTGCTGTCACTTTCTTCCTGTTACTTTGCATTTGAGCTGAATGCTTACTCAAGCAATACTAGACAGCACTATGTGACTTCCAGCAAAACAGCTGATTAGCTTAAATCCAATCTGGCTCCATTCTATGGTCAGCTTTTGTTGTGGCCTGTCTCTTAAGGCAAGAACACAGGACAGTAGTAGAGAATGCAGAAAACCACCTTTCAAAGGCTATAAAGGAAGAATGACTGAGCTGAAAAACTTGCAGAAGCATCTCCAGATTAAAAGTGATGTGGGTCGTTTGCCCACACTGGTAGTCCGGATAGACATAGATCAGCTCAGAACTGGACTCTTTTGAGAATACTTTTAGTCAGGTATGACACCCACACATTTCTTTTCACCCAATTTCCAAACCAGAGATGGCTTTCACTGGACTGACAGTGACTGTCAGCAGGCCCAGCTTCAGCTTAGTACGTTTACTACAAGTATTGACTCCAAATGCATCCAGTTCTAAACCAAGGAAATGCTTTCTACCTGTTCTTGCAACATCAGTCTAAATGTAGTCTGTCTAAAAATGGCAGCAGCTGCTCTTTCACTTAGCCAACCTAAGACTCTACTTTCACTCAAGAAATAAAGCCCAATCCAAATTCTGGCCAAGCCCTGCTCTGGCTAGAAGTGATGATGCAGTCCCACAGGGAGCCAGTTGGCTCACTGAAGTCTCCGGGCAAAGTACTAAAGAGAAGTTGCCAAAGGGTTACAGGCTCTGCTGCCACTGTGTCACAACCCTTTTCTTTTCTTTTCCTTCTCACCATGGCCCATGCTGTCCCTCTTGCTATCCTCCACCTTATTCATCTGCCTTAGCTTCTAAGCTACTTTGTAACCTCCTTCTATACCTCTTGCACAATCAGATTATGCAGGGGAGGTGGAACAAAAAACAAGCCTGAAGACAGCAATCCCCCTTTTTCCTTCTTGATGTTGCAAATATCACTAGGAGGTTGCAGTGACAGCCTTGGAGACAGGCATGCATGTATTTGGAGGTTTAGGTGCCAAACTAGGGAGAGCCCACTGAGCATATTCAGAAAGATTTGGCAGGGCTACACCGTGACATTTCACCTTCACTCACTTCTTTACAAGGAAAAACAGTGAGCAACTCCTGCACCCTTGAATCAGGCCAACTCATCTCCTAAAGGCTCTAGTCTGAGGCACTTCAGCACTAGAATGTCTCAATACAATTATTATTAATTAAATAAATATATTTTATTTGTATTGATATTTATTAGTTTATTTTTATATTCTATATATATAAGCAAGAGTTTGAAAACAGTAATCGTATCAGAGCAAACTGATACATATTAAATGAGATTCTTTTTTTCTGTACATTTTGGGGTTTTTTGTGGGTTTTTGTTGCTTGGGGTTTTTTGTAATGACAAAAATTAAAATCACATCAACCTTCCTGAACATTTTTACCAGTTCTTCTATATAAACCATATCTTCTATATAAACAGATTTTTTGTCATCTTCATTCTCACATATTCAGAAGGCTTCTTGGCTTATGAGCAATATTAAATGTCATCCTGTAGCCCCTTCCCAAACCCTCTACATTAGCCACATTTTTATAATATCAGCTATTACTAGCCCTATTCCAAACACATTAAAAAATATTGCTGTTTGTATATTCCATGTATAAATCATATCATGTAAATAAATTGAAGTCCAAAAGTAGATTTTGTTCTGTTTTGTTATTGCAAGAAATACAACAATTTAGGATTGCATAATTAGTTTTAACTCTTCTGAATGAAGGAATATTCCCTACCAGTGGTAATACTTGAATCGAGGTCTCCAGTTGGGAGTCCGTAAAAGCGTCTGAACTGCACAAGCCAGATTTACAAACATATAGCACATAAGGAAAAACCTGTTAAGAAAAAAAAACAACAACCAAACACAAAACAACAAAACATTTTCTAATGGGAAATTAACCAGATAGACTTGTATTAAAAGGCTGAACAGAATCCAAAAAAGGAGAGGAACTTGTACACTGTTCACAGTGGCTAACAGAACACAAGATATAGATTAAACTAATACTTATAGAATATCAGGCCTCAAAACATGGTATTAGCATAATAGAAAGCCTCAATCTAAGATTTCACAGAAAACAGCAAATAACTGACAGTCATGGTGTGCTGGTTTTGCCTGCTACAGAGTTAATTTTCTTCATAGTGGCTCATATGGTGCAATGTTCTGGATTTGTAACTAAACCTGTTGATAACACAGGGATGTTTTAGCTGTCACTGAGTGGCCCTTACACAGACAACATCAAGGCTATCCCTGTTTCTCTTGCTGCCCCACCAGTAAGAAGTCCTGGGGAGTGAACTCAATTGAAACAGCTGATCACAACAGACCAAAGGATTATTCAAGACTGTGTAACATCATGCTCAGCAGTAAGAGCTCATTCACAGAGGAAGAAGGGGGGACTTTTAGACTTAATGGTGTTTGTTTTCCCAAGTAACAGTTACAAATTGTCCTGCTTTCCTGCAAAAGACTAAATATCTGCCTACTGACAGTGAACAAATTCCTTATTTTGTTTCCTTGTGAGGGGAGCTTATGTCTTACAAGTTTCCCCACTTTTACACTTTTGATTCTCTCCACTCTCGCACTAGTGGGGAGTGAGCAAGTAGGTGTGTGGGGCCAACAGAATCAACCAATAGCATGGGATAAACTTAGAGGCAGTAAAATCAAGTTCAGTTCATACCCTAAAACATTAAATTGTTTGGTCTGTCTCTATTAGATGCACCTGAGCTAAAATAACAGGGAACATTTTAAAGTGGAGATTTTAAGAAGTTGAACATATTTTTACCAACATTCAAAAACTCTGTCATGGGAAAAGTTATTTGTGCCTGGAAGTTAGTTCCAGTCAAAACATTATGTTTCCTGCTACCTCTAGGATCAAACAGGAATATAACTTGTTATAAGACAAAGTCTAGCATGTATTATTTCAATAAGAAAAATAATTACCTAGTTAAAAGTAATTTGCTATTTAACCTCAGAATAGAAAACAACACATGCATACTTACATGGAAAGAATTGGTGCTACACTGTCCAATGAGGCTATCAAAATTCCTATTTCACAAATACCAGCAGTGAGGAGCAGAGCCCAAGTTGGTTCTCCATTTGCTTTTCCATGACCAAACACCTAGGTGAGTTAAAGAAAACTGTAAGATTAGGGAGAGCAGTTCATTAACAGTTATGAAATATGGTACAAATCATGAAATAACTCAAACTGGAACCAAAACCAGTCAGTAGTTACAAAGAAGAATGAAGCAAACTATACTGCAAAAAGACACAAACAAAATTGCAAACCCCACACATTTCCAATATGAAAAACACTTATTAAAATAAGCAATGACTACATAACACTGAAGTACTGTTGCAGATGCTGTTTAAATGATCTCAAGTAACTTAAAATCCACATGCAGAGACTTTTGCTTAGCATATAAAAAGCTAATATAGTTGAGGGCAGTATTTTCTGTAACATACAAAATAGGCATCAACTCAGTACTCAGGAACACAAATACTGATCTTTGAAAAGGACTGAGATAAGCCTATGCTCCCACAAAGAGCCCTATCAAAAATGTAAAGGTGGTAATTTCCTTTGTGGAGAATTCTATCCAACTGTATTGGTGATAGATGGCAAAATGCATCACCTGAAGCTCCAACCGTGTTTATTCTCCTTCATATACCACCATACATTATAAAGACTAAGCTCTCACTTTCATTTTCCAAAATGGTTTACTTTCCAAATGTCTAGGTTCTCCATCTCACTCACTCTCCATACTGTGTTCTTGCCTTATCTTCTTATCATCCCATCACTCTTGCTCCCCTTACACTAAAATGCCATTTTTTCTGCTCATGTTACAAGTCTTTGGGGTTTTATTTCTTAATAATCTCTTGTCCCTATCTTAATCTCCTTGCATTCATCTCCTTGACCATCCATGCAGCAGCTACATCACTCCAAAACTGCAAACACATCTCAAGTCTCAAATCCCATTTCAACATCCTGCTTCTCCTGGATTCCTTTCCTTCATTTCCCAAACCACGTCTTTTTGTTGGTTTTTGTTTTCCTTTTGATTCTTGGCTACTTTCCAATATAACCCAGAGAAGACAGAATAATACTGTCACACTCTCACCAAGTACCAATTTTTTACTTCAGACTAAAGCAACACTTTTCATTTCTCTCTCTCAATATGATCCAGCTTTTACAATTTATTGCATTACAACCCCTTCCTAGTCACAAGTCAAACTCCACCGTGATTCTGTGCCCCTACCTCAGCACACTTAGTGTATTTTCTTCCAGTTGTGGATACAGGGCTTGCAAGTCAGGGACCATGCCAGTATTCTCAACTGTGAAATAAAGCAGCAGCATGTTTGATACTCATGCACATCCTCAGCATCTTTCTCCATCTCTGGTAGAAAAGACACCCTCAAACCAAGGAAGTGATGATGTAGCTTCCTCAGTGACCAAGTTCCCAATGCAGTAGGGCAGTGAAATGGGAGACAGAGCAGTAGCACTGCTGCCAGGGATGCTGTTAGCTGAACGTGTTCAGGCAGCAGAGGGGTTGCAGAAGCAGCAACTGCTTTTTAATTTGTTTACTTCTTGATTCATTAAGCCTCTGGCTCCTTCTCCCAGCAACAATACTACTAGTGTACGTTTCCAGCAACCATTCCTCCCTGCAGCCCAAGGGAAAGACCCAAGAGAAAACTACAAGGATATTGTCCTACTGAGACTAGGCACCAGCAGACAGACCAGGGAAGCAGCTGGTGAATGGAACCAAGTGATTAGAGACCAGAAAAAAAGTTGGCAACAGCAGTACAGCTGCCTTTCACAAAGCAAATAACAAAAAAACCCCACAACAAAACAAACAAAAAAAACCCCAAACAACAAAAATCCCATAACACACAAAAGATAACCCACCCTCCCAAGTCACTAGCATTACCTCTTCCATTTTGCTTTGCTTCTCAGCTTTTCTACCCCCTCGAATCACAGAATCAAATTGCTACAGATCAAATCACCACAGAATCATAATTTGTGTTGGAAGGGATCTTAAAAATCATCTAATTCCAACCTCTCTGCAGGGGCATCTTCCACTAGACCAGGTTGCTCAAGCCCCATCCAACCTGGCTTCAAAACTTCCAAGGAAGGGGCATCCACACCCTCCCTGGGCAACCTGTTCCACTATCTCATTCCCTGTCCTCTCCTTTCTCTCCTTCCCACAAGTTTTTTCCTTTTTGCACAAACTCTGCACAACTCCTTCCTCCTCAGATGTTTCCTCTCCAGCCCCACTCAAATTCTCCAGCTAACCCATCATTCATAATAGTCCTAGGCACATTCTAGCTAAGGAATTTTCTCCTCATGCCACAAATAATGTGTTGGCTCATAGCAGGCTTTGCCCAAACTCAGGAAGCACACTAAGCTGCTGCTATTCTATATCTACCCCTCACTGAAGGTAGATTTTAGATATCTCTGAGATAGGTTATGCACCAAGAGTAATAGCCCATTTTTTAATATGACACTACTACAGTGACCTCAGATGTGAGAATATGACCTAGAGCACACTGACTCTAGGTCTGACTCTAGAGGTAAGTGTGGGTAAAGTAGGGAATACTCCTTAGGTATCAAAATAATTATACAAACCTCCCAAAGGGATATATAAAATAAACAAGTGTTCCAAATAATCCCTGTACAACAGAGAAGCCTGTTTTACTAAATTCAGCCCTGGTTATCCTCAGTGCCTTTATTATCTGCAATTTCTTTCTGTGTGCTAAATTTGACAACTGACCCCTAACGCTGTTCAAAAAATATTCATAGTTACTCAGACATAATCCTGTTTTTTATATTTAATCTATTCTTGGTAGGTTATGGTTGTGCTGTGCAATCATTGGCAACTCTTGACAATTTAAGGTACGCTTTAAAACTTCATCACAGGAATCAGCTTTTCTCCCCAGACATCCCATTCTGTTGGATTTTTAATATTTTTTTTTAAGTCTAGTTGCCTTTTTTTTTGCAGATGCAGCCAAGCAATTATGTTAAATAACCTCCATCAAGAGTTCTCTTTCCTTCTACTTGCCAGTTCCCTTACTCATTTCCTTTGAGAAAAACCCAATATATTTATTTTTAAAAACACGTACAGGGATGTTGGAACAATCTTAATGCTCAGAGTCACAGAACAGAATTCTGTTACATCTTTGTTGACTTCATTTAGCTTACAAAGATGAAAACTCTTATTGTGTCTCTGTGATATGAGAAGTATCACACAGTTCCGTAGTGAGATTAAATCAACTCTGTTCACAAATACAAATCGTAACACAGCATGAGTCAAGCAGTTGTTCTTAAGTTGCTTCTTAGGTATTTCCATTTATAGAAGACTTATATTCTCAGTTTTGAAGTATTTATGTGTAAGAAGAATAATTAAATAACACTGCACAGAAATATCCAAGTTTAAACCTGGTCCTATAGTAGCTTCATCTTTTACAGTACACAATTAAAACTGAGCTTCAAATCTTTTCCTTACATTTTGAAAGGAATAGCAAAAATAACGCCTCATTTTTTATTATAAGTCACACTTGAAATACCGTAAGGAAAAAAAATCTTACTTGAATAAAAGGTACAATGCCATCCCTTGCAATGGCCTGCAGCAGACGGGGGGCACCGGTGAGACTCTGGAGACCAGCACCACATGTTGAGAAGAAGGAGCCAATCACAATAACCCATGGAGAAGGCCAGGCTAGTGTACCAACCACTAGATTTCCATTAACTGCTTCTCCAAACCTTATAGAAGAGGGGGAGGGGAAAAAAAAAAAATCAGTCAATATTAAAATAACTTTTACTATAGCTTCAACATCCACATTTCAATCTCTTTGGACAACAGCACTTTTCAACAATGAACACTATGTCACAGTATGTACTATAGCATTTTCCAACCAACTAATTTATCTTAATTTTGCTGTTTTTAAAAACAAAACAAAACAAAAACATTCTAATTGTTTCATCACAAGTGCTACCTCTAAGCAAACTGCAGCAATTATCAGGAATCTTGGCAAACTTTACAGAAATAGCAGCGATAGCATTTACATATACATCCTTTAGATCCTAGACTCCTAGGAATTCAACTGCAGAAGTCTGTTTTACAAGTAATACAGGTATACCCCAGGACATGAACATGAGATTCACATAAAGTATTAGCCTTTCCTTTTAATAGTGTGACACTGACATACAGACAAATAAACAATTAGACACAACCATCTCAATTTATCCACGTGCCTTCTGATTGTCATGCTACCTGATGCCATTTTTAAATTACTATGGCAAAGAAGCAGGTGGGAAGGCAGAAAGAGGTGCCCTTAGTCTTGACTGTCCCATCCACTGCCACTGCTTTTTTAAAGATAATTAACTTTATGTCAATTTACAGACATCTTGGGTAAACTTTGGAAAGATTCTTCCCCTTTTGCCCACCTCCCTCCCAACATGATGTTTCTGTTTTAAGAGCCAATAAACTTCTGGTAGGTCATCTTAGTCTTACAATTGCTTTTGGCTGCTTCCTAACAAAACTATCTATACTGTGATTGCATAATTATTTTGAAAAACCTGAAAACATTGAAAAATAATAAAGACCAGAGAAAAGGCTACAGAAAAAGAAAAATTTCAGATCTGCTCTTAAACAGATTCAAGACACATAGTAGTAATCAGGTTAATATAATAATCCAGTGTTCGAATTCTTGCATACACCCAAGACTGGATGCATGGCTACATGCAGATAGAAAAAGGGCTAACCACACCCTTTAAAATAATATTAGGCTTCTATGACAACATTTATGCAGCTGAACATTCATTCTTAAATCAAATTGTAATGCCTGTGTTTTAATGTAACAAGGAGTAGGAACAACTTGAATAAAGTGAAAGAAAAACTGTAAGATGTACAACCTACATTTTATCACGGTAGATATGATAATCCATAATTAAAAGAACACAAAAAACAGTCCTTAAATGAGACCAGAATCTATACATTTTACTGTTATCATGGGTTTCAGCCAAACATGAACTGGCAGCAGTGTAAATGAAAGGATATGGATTCAATGCTCTTGCTGAAGTGCATCCCACTGTAGTGATGGATCACCTGCACTCAACAGCTGGCAAAATTTCCTCCCTCCTCCCCTAACCCAATTAATTTCAAATACATTACTTTAAAAAATGTGAGTTTATAGATATTGACTCCACATTGATTTATAATTCAGAATGCATTTACTATTTCTTAAACATCAGCTTGATTTGTTTTTTGTATTTACTTTGAAGAAAAAGACATCAGATATTCATTGATGCAGCTATACTATTTTAAAGTAAAAATCCAGCTTTTAACTTATGATTCTCCTTCTACACTAAGAGACTGCATTTTGAAGTAAGTTGTCTCAGCATCATCTCCACCACCTTCCAAACTTCCAAACCCCAATGCCACTGCTTCATCACCAAAAGCAAACTTGGGTCTTAGAAAAAAGAATCAGACACCGGGAAGGAAACAAATGTGAAACCTGCCAACAGGTTCATCTTCAGCAACTCAATGTCTTTTAAGGGATAAATTTACAAAAATCTGGAGATTCTGCTCATTACATTTACTCCCTTTGTGCTTCATATTGTGCCTCAAATATCCTCAGGTAACTACAAAGGTGAAAACTGACACAAGTCCTGTTCTACAACCGATATTTTATAACAAAAACCAGCTAGATATCCAGCGAAAATGTTAAGCCTGATGGTGCATTTACAGTCTCTCTCATGAACTCTCCTTGTCACAGAACTGTGAAAAATATTTCTTTTTGTTCCTCAGGAGCATATTACTTCTCCCAGAGTAATAATGCTTCCCTTACCCATATCCATCAGCTCCACAAATACTATTATTGTCTCTCTCAAGAACATTTTATTAGGGACAGTTCCACTTCAAACATTTATTCTAGATTCTGCATCTATTTCTTGAAGGGATACAGCTTGATAATCTGACCAGTTTTTTGCAGCCATCTCAGTTTAACTCACACAGACTTTCCTTCCAGTTTTAACCTAATCAAGAGAAAAACATCACGTATATATTTCCCAGAAGAGCCATTAATAAATGGTATTAACATAGCCCATGATCATGCATACTCTCTGTAAAATTAGAAGTTGAATGCAACTTACTTATCTCTTAATATCACACCTTCTATACAGGCACCAAACAGCACTATACAGGAGAGATCTATTACTGAGACTGAAGGAAGATTACACTATAAATTATCAGATACATAGCAAGAATAAAAAACCTCCATGATTTAGCACCTATGTGTAAATGAAAGCATCCCTGATAACGAAGGGGGGGAGGGAGGCAAAAGGTTGTTGGGTTTTTTGATTGTTGATGTTTTTTTTGGCTGTTTTTTAAATTCTTCTCTACCACAACTTTTTAGTTTAAGTTCTCTGTGACTGCCTTTGATGCAGAGTTTATTTTAGATATTGGAAATAGCTGGTCCCTACATCATGCAACAGAACAGATATTTTCTTATACAAATAAGCATTTGTCTCTTCTAGGTATTGAAGGCCTAGCAATTTCTATTGCTGGTAGTTTGCTTTAAGATTTTCAATTATTATACTAAGTACAACAACAAAGCAATCTGCCAGCTAAGGCATGATGCTAAAATCTTCTACATCATTTAACTAGAAACATCAGTTATATCTTGGAATTTGAAGCACTAGTAGAACATAGAATATTTATATAAATATTTATGTATACAAATAAAATGTGAGGTGCTTAATAATATTCATACATTATTTTTATATTTTAGATAAAATATTTCTTTTCAGGTTAGCTTTCATTCACCTTATACTTGGGCAACTATAATGACTCTTCAATGAAAACACTGTAATGTTATAGCTACAGAATGTGCACTAGGAAATAAGAAGTCACAGCATAAAGGATACAAATAAAAGACGTAGTTGAAATAGCCAAAATTGTTCCAGTAGGAATAGATTTCTGCGCATCCTTAAGATCTCCAGATCTGTTTGAACCTGCCATAATACCTTAAAAAAAAAATTAAAAATTTACATGTCATAAAAACAATTCATACTAATTCCATGTCAATAACTACTAGAATAGGAACACTTAACTTTAAACCTGATTTAACACATCTTTACCAATGAAGCAGATGACAGAAGTGTATTATAATCCGGCAGAAATCCTCAATTTATACCCTAATTTTATTCAGAAATGTGTGTGTTAGCACCCATTGTTGACTGAACATATTCCAGAAGGCTCAGGAAAGAGAGAGATTAAAAAAAAAAAAAAGTTATTTTTCAAATGCAATTTCAGAATCGTTTGTAAACTGAGGAAATATACAGCAGTAGCAAAACGTTGGGGATGTTACAAACTATGGGAGATTTTTCAGCCTAGCCAGTGTGACCAAACACACTAACTTTCTGTTTAAACAGACTCTACATAGTAAGATATGTAAGCAAGTCAACAGACTAAATAATAGAAACACAGAAACAAAGAAGAGCAAGCAGGAAATACAAGAAAAATTCTTAGGACATCACGTGTACACATTGCTGTTTAAATTCAACAGGAGAACAAAAACATTTTCTAGCACATACTGGGACAAGAGGGGGAAAATCATGCAACAACTAAGTCTGCCCTCTTTCCCAGCATTGCCTTGACCACAGCTGGAGGCAAAACCGTGGGAGTTAATGTCAACATGTTCCAGTGCAAAACCATTGTCAAACTCCATGCAATGAAACTAACCACAGTTTCAGATAGGATGAGGTCTTGATAAAAGAGCCTGAAGCAGAGAAATGGAAACAGTGGAGGACACCTATGCCTGGTATTTTACTAGCAAGCACTGCTGCAACTTGCTAACAGAAGGTATTGTTACTTGGTATTACAAAAGTTCTTGATTTGGGACTTCTGAAGAAAATTTTCTCTGGTTATTTCAGTCAAAGGTGACCTGAGGAAAGTGATATTCAACTAATCTAGCCTTTAAGCTTGACAACGAAGCCTCTGCTAGTTAGTGTTGCAAAAAAGTGCTGGACATTTAAATAGATCACAGGCGGTTCATGACTTGAATACCTGAAACAATCATTTTAACACTCAACTATTCTCTCATGCATTTGAAGATCAAAATATTAAAAATGTATGTATCTTAAATAAACATTTAGTAATGCACAGAGCTTTTGTTGTCTTTCCAGACATAAAAAGCAGAACTTTAACTGATGCCTTGCTTAAGTCCTATAATGCTCTAAAATTACCAACTACCAGTAATGTCACTCTAGCACCAGAAAGTTTTAGGTACATAAACCTTGGGACACACAGACCAGCAATATTGCGTCTCACTGATAAACATTCACACACACACAAAATAATCTTCTTTTCAGCTGCAAGTACACATCCTTACTCAAGAAAAAATGGTCATGTCTACCTGTCACAGATGGGAAATAAATCCCGACAAGCATCGTGAAGTAGGTCATGATGTCTGTAAAAACATAAGGCAATCCACTCATTTTTGTCTCTTCTGATCCAGGAATTGATGGCTGATCTTTTTTCTCAACTATTGATCCTTTTTCTGAATAGGTACTCCAGAGATTATCTGCAAGGCAAAAAAAGCCCAAGACCCAGTGTCATCTTAATCCCTCTGTTTCAGGATATTAAGTAGTAGGAATGCAATAATCTTAAGAATCAGATGGCTTTTTGTTTCCACTTCTTTTTGATAGAACAAGGCTTTTGAAAGAGTGCTTGTAAAAATTCAATGATCCCCAAATTAAGGCATTTGACATTAAGCTGCTAAAACCAGATGGAAACTTTATAGGAAGAAACATGCTCTAGATAGCAATCTAGATCTTTGGACACGTGTCCAAAGTTTTTTTACATCACTGTGCTTTCCAACTTACCCATTAGAACTCCACTCATTATTCCTGGAATCCCTTGAATTTCTGTTACGTTATTGAGACTAAAGTAGTCATCACATGTAGCATTAAGCAAAGGACTATCACAGAATAGTTGCCACAGAGTTGTAGTCTGTGTTTCATTATTGCTTTCAGTAAATTTGGCACAGACATCAAAGCTGCGTTTTGACAATGTACGGTTTCCAAGGAGACAGATTCTGTAAACAAAAAATATAAAAACAGTGATGTTACAATATAGTGCTGTGCATTAAACCATTTTTTGTCCATTAGACTTCTTCAGAAACCCGATACTTGCAGTACCTCTCTTCTGGCCTACACTACATCCACTAAAACAGTATATAGTCTTTGCATATAAAGACTTCATCAATAATCTTTAAATCAGCAATCACACATTTCTACTTTTAGGTATTAATAACTATTTTGCCTTCTGATTTACTCTTTGGAAAAAAATAAACTCAAGCAGTTTGGCCACTAAGTAACAGAGATCAGAGTAATTCAGTAAGTGAAATGAAGTAATACTTAATATAACAATGAGCGTGACCAAGAAAACACAAAAATTAAGCAACTCTGTCATGTCCTTTTCTAGCAAACAAGTATTTTAGAAAGCCCTCAAAAATATTAAAATCCAAAAGGCAGAAAATAATCTAGGAGGGTTAAACAGCAAAATTCAAACATATTGATGGGAGTACAAATTAAAGAATCACACAGCAGGAAGTAATTAAAACATTCAAAACTAAAAGAAAATTAGAAAACTCAGAATAATTCACAAAAAGCAAATTCATAACAGCAAAAAATATTCAGGATCTAGGAACACTTCTTTGCTAAGCTATACAGAATATAGGAGATATCCACTCCAGGCTTGCTTTATAATGAAATTATATATGATGTCTAGGAAGAAGTAAGGAACATCAAATAAAACACTTGTGTTAAGCACATAAGTCAAAGAACACATAGTACACATCTCACACTTCTGAAGGAGCTCAGTTAAGAAGCTAATAGCAAACAGTAAAAACATACCATTGGCATTAGAACAAGTATATTAAGCCAAGCAGAATATTGACCTAGTGCAGTATCTTATTTCTAATAGTAATTAAGAGTAGATGCCTTGAGAAGCATACAGGACACCAGTACAGCTTCAGGGTATGACATCACATGGAAGCTGAGCAGATTTAACAGAAAGCTGCATTTTTCAGTTGCTATTCATTTGGTGACCCTACAGCAGCTGGGTAAGCTGGTTCAGCCCATGGACACTTCTCCCAGTTTGATTCAATGGGAAAATCATGAGGTAAACTATTTTACCATCTGTACAATAGCCAAACCTAATTAAAAATTCAAGTACCTTCCTACTGGAAGTTACAGCTTTGTCTTCTATTGAAAAAAATAAGTGTGTTCAAAATTCACATTTTTCTGAAGAAATGTCTTTTTACAGTACAGTACACATATACTGTTTAAATGCTCAATTTGTCATGTAACCATCAATGCTTCAAAGTACTATGGTATATGTAACAACTATTCAGTAGAAGGTAACTTTATTCCTATACAGCAGATGCAATTTATAACAAAAGTTACGAGGCTATTATGTTAATATTTTAAGCAGTATAATTTTGTTTTCTCTCTAAACACAAAAAGACACAAAAAAGCAACTCACATACTGATAACTGGTCAAAAGGAATCATTCTTAGTGAGCTAAGGGAGGTACAAGCTAAAGACTTTGCGAAGAAATATGCCATGCATGATAACAATAGGATTTTTATTAACAAGAAGGTAAAAAGCCTTCACAAACAAGTGACTTTAATACTGCAATGTCTCTGTTTTAAGTAGGAAGAAATGGAGGCTTAAAAAATTTCCTCAAGATATACAACTAACATTGAAGCCTCTGTATTTATATTTTGAAATTTAGCCTAAATCATGAAATGGTTACAGTAGCTATTCCTCCTCTCCACCTTTACTTTTTCTAAATGACCCATACTACTTAGATATTGCACTTACGGGAAGTCAGGCGGGTCAAAAGCAGTCTTAATAACTCCAGCATATATGGCAATGATGGAAAGAATCACACAGGCAAGGAAGACCAGTGCAAGTTTGTTTACATACTTAACTCCCACAAAAACTACTATGGCCATCAGAATGATAATACACGTTCCATAAACTCTCATGTTGTTCAGCATAGCCTCCGTTTCCTCCCCAACCTCTTCTGCTTTAAATATAGCAGCACTTGGAGAAATGTAAGTCTGCAAGAGATACACACTATCAGACATGTAATAACAAATATTTTATTAAGAAATTATTTAATTGAACTTCAAAATCTACACTGCTATTGCTGTACGAGTTTTATTCTTTTAGGAGCCAGTCCAAGCAGATGACACTGGCATTTAGAAAGTGTAACAGTAACAGGAAGAAGGGGTGAGCAGAAATGAAGAAAAACAAGTTTTGAGAACAAAGTACTGTTTTTAATACAGCTTCTCAGAGTTTCAACTCCTAAAACTCTTATTTCTGCTAGAGGGAAAAAACCAGTAAGGACCTGGGAGGATGAGGGCTATTAACAACAATTAAAAGAAAAATAAAACCAGCTCAAACCAGATATATCCTTACGTTCATCTGAAGCAGTTGCTAATTCCATTGATTGAAACAATATGAAGAGTCAAATAAAAGCATTAAAAAAACCTAGAAGTGTTTGCAGCACTACAGTCTCTGCACTACATTTCATAAAATTCAGATAGCTTCAACATTGTACCTTGAAATACATTTTTAACAAGTTTACCTTCATTTTTAATCTGAAGTTGCAACAGCACAATTTAAGATGAGTGTGATGAAGCTTAGTCCTGTGCTAAGCTGGACAATTTAAACTACTGTAATTTCAAACAGGATTCTATTGCAGATCTCAATTTCACATAAGTTTTTTCTGGGTTCTACCTAAAAGGAAGTTGGATGTACAGTTTATAGGACTTATACTGATAAATGCAAAGACATACTGACCTATAGTTCTGAGACATTTGTGTACTACACTACATGATAAAGAAGCCTTTATTCCTTCTTCTAACACCTTTAGAAAAAAAACAACAAACTCTGCTCAGCTACTAGAGGAGTATTAAGTCTTGAGGCAACTCCACTCCTTCAAAACAACAGCTAAACTCATTACCCTTAAATAATCTAACTTCTAAAAGCAGGAAGAAACTTTTAGCAAGAGGCTATGTAAGATAATATGTTCAGAATCAGAATCCAAAACCAGACACAGGCAATTTTTTACTAGAATTTTCTTCAAATTAAACTAATTTTAAATTAAATTTCCATCTAGTAAATTCTTATTTACTAGAATGCTAGAAGAGATTGAAATTGTCCTATCACCATGAAAGAAAACAAAAACAGCAAAACGAAAAACTGATTACAGATAGAGGATTTACATATTGTCATTAGAAAATTCTACTTGTGATGTAGCAAGGGTATCAGGCTCTGTGTGGAGGTACTCCAGACAGGGGGGGTTTTGTGTGCTTTGTTGCCCTGCTGTTCACAGCCTTTGCTGGGAAAAGCCATAGGCAGACAACTGATTTCTGCAAATAACTTTCTCCAAATAACCCATGTATCAGTGGAGAAAAAAAAATAAATTTAAAAAGTTAATAAATAAATAAATAAAAATCCATACTTGTGCCTTGTGGCGGTAACAGAGTTTTTTTTCCTCACATCTTCTACCAGATATAACATCCTAGGAGGTTTTTTACTTCCAATTCCATAGCTGGACCCATGCATGCTTATTAGCAATACATAAAACCAGCATGACACTTCAGCAGGGAGAACAGCACACCAAACCCAGTCCAATGTGACATGGTGCTGGTAGTGTTGTTAATATGGATCAGATCTCACAAGCTAGCAGTAGCCAGTGAGGACTCTAATCTCAAATCCAGGCCTTTTTGTATTTATGATATGGGTCACAGTAAGTAACAGGGAGGAATTCTAAATGCATCTGCACAGTCTGACACGACAACCCATGTCTTGCCCCTCCTGGATGCGGCAAAGCCATAGTAGCTGGGCCACTGCCCTACAGGCAGTCTTCCACAGAATCTCTACATGTGTAAGAAATTTCAAGGAAATAAGTCTGAAAAGGAAGCAGTAGGATAGATTCTTAATGCCTGTCTTATAGGAGATAAACCTTTCTTGTTCTCCATAAGCATCCATTGCACAGAAGCTTTCCCCAGTGCACATGGCTGCGACAAGCACTGTAGGAGCTGAAAAGTTTCTGTGAGTTATCCTAGGAATGCTTCTCTGATGCCAAGCCCCAGACTTTCATTTGGAAGGAAAGGAGTCCTCCTAGACCTTAAGAAAGTAGGGTTTAAAGGGACTTATGCCACACTTACCTAGAAATAAGCAGTTCTTCCAACAGAAGAGACACCTAGGGGTGTTGACTACTTACTATGAAGTAGTTGCCAGATTTAACATTTTAGGTATGTCTTACTAAAATCCGTAGTTTCTCTTGCAACTCTGTAGGTGCACAGTAGCACAAGCACAACTTATGGGACATTTGGTATTCATAATATGTAGTGAAAAGGTAAAGGTGACAATATATACATTGCATCTGGTACAGATTAGTAAAAGTCCATTACCAAATTCTATTATTTCCTACTTTAAGTAGAATAAACTTATATCAAACAGCCTTTAATTTATTTTTGAATCACTGATTAGTTTTTTTAACTTTTTCAAATAGGAACAAGTAGAGCAAGAATAATTAATTATTGACATACTGAAAATAACGTATCAAGATATTAAAACTCACTAAATTAGAATGCATTTTAGGCCAAGTACATTCCTCAGCCACCTCCTAAAACAGCACAAATACATTTAATCCTAAGAGAAACTACTACTTACCAATAAAATTTCAATGGTACCAAGAATGTACATTGCTCCTGCAAAGGTTGTACCCAAGTAGAAACAGAGTCCCACTGCTCCACCAAACTCTGGCCCTAGAGATCTTGAAATCATGTAGTAAGAGCCTCCAGCTGTGAATTGAACAAAAAAAAGACTCCAGCCCTTCAGATTAAGGACAGCACTAGAGAACAAAAACTTGAATCATTCAGTCCATGTAATCAAGATAACTACTGCATAGATCTCCATTGCAGTGTTCATACCAAAACTGTATTAAATAACAACTAGTAGTTACAATGTACATAGTGAATATGTCCATGTGCATTTTCTGGGGAACAGAAAACAAGGGAAAAGAGGAAAAAAACCCACAAGCTAAACGACCTAAAAGTAAATTAAGAAATGGTATAACTAGCTGTGAATCAATCTTTAGTTTCTGACCTCAAATGCTGACAACCCAAAAAATGTCCAGAATAATTTCTTTACAAGGTGGGGACAACACAAAACTTTGTTTCACTAAGATGCATTCTTTTTCTTTTCTGTAAACAAAACCATTACTATTTTCACTACATGCATTTTTTTCAGTACTATTTAAAAGTGTTGGGTAGGGATTGATTTTTCTTGTCTACTCATAAATTATTGCCCCCGAAGTTTTCAATTCTTCTCACTCATATATCCCATACGCATACATCATCTTTAAGTCATAAGCTACCCAACTCACCTCCCCACCCCCACATTTCCAAGGTACTATCTCCTTTTCAATAATGCTCTAAGTTTCAAGCTCTTTATCTAGACTTCCCCCCAGTCCCCTCATGGCATGCTCCTCTCTTGTTCCCCCTCCATCTTCTCTTAAGCTCATGATGTTACTCCCATTCATGACAACTGAGGAAGAAAGAGGAGACAGAGAAAGGAAGTGCTTTATTTTAATAAACACACACTAGCCTTGTGTAAAATTAGTCCACAAATAAGAAACAAACTTCTAATCAAAGGGCATAGTCTGAAACAGCTTTTCAATACGAACAGATGAGAAACTAACATGAAAAATTATGATTCATCAGTTCTTTAAATATAATGGGATTGCATGTAATAGCAAGAGGCAAGATCCTGCTGCTCAGGTCTCTTTCAATCCCAGCTTCAGATCTGTGCTTTCTGCCTCCTCTGTATATTCCAGGAGGAGAAAAGAAACTGGTACTAACAAAAAGGTGAAAATAAAGACCTGCCTAGTGCAAGACCCGCCAACTTCAAAGACTCCTGTGACACCCAGATGTTAAGCAAAACCTTTACAATGAACCTTAAAAAATATGAGAGGGAGAACAGCACAACATTTCAGTAACCAAGACAATGGTTAGAATAACTACATTTAATTATAAAAGTATTTTAAATCAAATTTTCTCACGTATTTGTATTTCATATATAGTACTGCATGCATGAAATGCAATTATTCTACACCTTGCACAAGTTGCAGCATTTTGCCCAACTTCTACATCAATTGTGGAACCATTTACTAAGCTAGAGAGGCTCTGCAAGTGAGGAATTATTTTAACTTCATTAAGCAAACTGTTCAGAGTTCTTAACAATGTCTGAATACTGATATTATCGATTAGCATGTTGAGAAACTGAAAAGGATAAGAGCTTCAAATGAATGATTCAGATGATTTTGCATTTAAAACATTGGCTTCTTAATTGAATAAGAACAAGTTCATCTATTTATCGTGAAAATTTAAGGACATGAGCATTACTTACAGTGCTTATATAGAAAAAGATTTTTTGCCAGTAGACTGTCTATTATTCTTGCAGAAATAATAGCAAGGTCCAGTGTTTAGAAATTGAGTCTAGGCAAATTCAGGTGGAAAAAAGGCAGCCTTATTTGTAAATTCATAAGGAAATTTCCTTTGCATCAAGACAAGTCTCCATTAGTTCAAATTATAACATCTTATATTTCATCTGAACATAATGACAAAAACACACTATAGGTCGTAGTTTCTAGAAAAGTCCAGTTAAAAGATTGCATCTTACCTTAAAAATTCATGTATGCATCAGTTAAAACAAAACATGCACTTAACACAAAAGCATTACTTCTGATATATCAGACTACCGTTATTTCTTATCCCAGCCTTAAACTTCCATCACTTTGACCATTCACCTTTTAAGATAAAATTCTTTATTACCTGGAACGACACCATTTGTTGCTATCGCACTCATGGAAATTGCAGTTAGCATAGTCTGTGGAAAGATAAAATAGAGGATATTTAAAATACTGAGAGCTTTGTGAAAGATAGAGCAAGACAAAGTGTGCAAATTAGACTAGCAATTTATTTTTTTAAAAATAAAGTGTTAGAGCAACTAAAAGAAAGCATATCTTCTGTTAGGGATATCCCTGTCAATTAAGTACTAAATTTTTTAGTTAATTTAGATGTTTGAGACAGTCTATAAAAAGAATTGGAAGAACACAGACCGCCAAATGTACTTAAAATAAGGTGTTCATTATTCCCATTAAATAATAGTGAAAAACTGAATAAGTGTCTTTACTATAACTATATAATCTACCAGCAATCTTGCATTCCACAACAATAATGTATGGACATAATGCTGTAGATTTATTTGTAGTTTATATTTCAGTTGGTTCTGAAGTTGTGAAAAGTAGAACAGTTCAGATTTCCACGTAAATCATGAAATACCGGCTAAAAGCCAATATAATAATAATAATAATATCCATATGAACCTTTAAATAAAAGCTTAATGTGATCAACTCAAAAGCAATTCCATACAGGCTAGAATGACATGTGACATACAGTGCACATACATATAAATATATCTGTAAATATTCCATGTATCTCATGCATCAATACTTCATTATGGAAAAATCTCTCTCCGCTGCTCGTATTAGAAGGCAGTGGTACTCTTGTAACAGAAGATTAGGCCAATAGGAGAGAAAAAGCTTAACTTACACAAGCACAACACATGAACACAATGATGAAAGACTCAAGAACTCCAGCTGTTCCCACAATCCATGTTAAACGTAGGAAAAGAATTACTCCCAAGATGTTTTGCAAACAGGGCAGGTACACACCAATAAAAGTGCCCATACGTGGAACCTGCAAACAAAGTCAGAACATTAATTCCTTTGCAGTAAACAAAGTCCAGAAGCACTTTCTTTAGCTAACATTTATCACAAATGCTCCACGAAGAAATGCCAAGTGAAGCTGAACGCTAGCTCCAAAGTGTCTAGCTTTGCAAACATTCACAGGGCACTTCGGCAGGAAGATTCCTGGAAACACAGAAAACTCTTTGTGATAGCAAATGTTCTTGTCCCAGAGGTACTAGGGTGAAACCTTGATATGGGTAGGATGCCTCTTCATCTGTTGATTACAGAGATTTACAAATGTTCTTCTGAAATACCAGTTACAGACTACCATTGAAGAGAAGTTGCTATCATAGCCAAAATACCAAATACATGCTGCAAAAAGTTGATCACCAGCTGCCCTACAGCTGACCCACAGTGTGATATTCAACAATAAGTTTTTTTCAATTTTTAAATGGACAGAGTAGTATGATAAGACAAGAAGAAATGTTGAAAAACATGCCACAACTTAGTATATTTGTTTGTCCTTTTTACTTTCCGATGATCATTATGGGTCAGGATACACACAGGCTTCATTAAAGTTCCAGCCTTCTACACTTAAGAAATCAGACCTTGGCATATCCAATTTAGAAGCAGGAGTTAGTAGCAGTTTTCCAGACGCAGAGGCTGCTCTTAAATCACAGCTCAGGCTGTGAATAAAAGGCAATAAATTTAAATAAATAAGCATTGGTGCTTCACCTGTTAAAAAAATTATTATGAAAACACTAAGTTTCCAGATACTACTGAACCATGGAATGTCATTTAGACTATAATCTCTATTTTTAGAATCTTGGGCAACAATAATTTGCAACATCAGTGCTACTGTTTCAGTTAAACCATTCAAAATGCAATTCTGCCAGGCTACCACTGAACCACCACTCAATTTCAGACATGGAAGAGAAAAAAGACACATGCACTGAAACTGTGTTTTTAGGCCATCAGATGGTGCTCAAACGAGATTAACTGCAAGAGAGAATACGGTGTCCATGGAGCCAGGCAGTGCAGAGGGACTAACACATTAACAAAAACTCCTGCACGACAGCTGGATGAAGGATGGGGACTAACTAAGGAAACTGCAAGTCGATCAGTGCTGGTTTTCTCATATCTCCAGCTGCACCTTCAGATGAGAAGAAACAGCTGCAGAACAAGCATAATGAGACAAACAAAAAGTAACCCCACAGACATGTAAATGCAGGATAAGTAAAAAGCTGAACAGCTAAATTTTATTCCTTACCCTTGCCCATTGTCCTGGTACCAACTTCCTATACTAGTCAGGTCCTCATGCAAACAGTTTGACTGAAAATCTTTGGGTACCCCACCATAAATCTCTCTTCCAGACAAATGAGCTCCAGTTAGAACATTACTTTCAAGCACCTTTTCATATCTGTCTCTTCTGCTATATGCTCATTTACTTGTATTAATTCCTGTGTGTTTCTCCTTCTTTATCCATAGCTTATAACATGAACTCAGCAGCAGCACCCCTTCATAGAACGCCAGGTTGGAAGAGACCTCGACGACCATCTGGTCCAACCTTCCTAGGTAACACTGTAGTTTACCTGAGATGGCTCAGCACCTGTCAAGCTGAGACTTAAAACTGTCCATTCTGGGGGAATCTAGCACTTCCCTGGGGAGACTATTAACTGAGTAAATAGGGATCTAATTTCAGCAGAACACTTTTCCCTCTGATATGTCTGGACTTGGGCAGTAAACTTCAGTGGCTGTATTATAATTACATTCCCAATTATAGAACACAACTTGTGCCTTTCTCCTTACTAAATGATTCATACTTTTTGAAAGCTCTGATAAGGTTCATAACTCATAGCAGATTCCAAAGATCATTTGTGTTTGGTCTAAAGAACTCCCTCCATTTGACAACATCAAAGCAGTGCTGCTTACTTTATTGTAACAGCTCTGGATCTAGTACCATGACTACACAAGGCCTGACTTTTATTTATTCTCTTCCATTTGCTATTTTTATTGTGTTCCTCTTCTAGACTATCGAATACCTGTGTGTTTTTAAATCATCTTTCAACAGCTGCCTCCAAACAGAATCACAGAATCTTAGGGGTTGGAAGGGACCTCAAAAGATCATCTAGTCCAACCCCCCTGCCAGAGCAGGATCACCCAGCACATCACACAGGAACGTGTCCTGGTGGGTTTTGAATGTCTCCAGTGAAGGAGACTCCACAGCCTCTCTGAGCAGCCTGTTCCAGGGCTCTGTCACTCTTATTGGAAAGAAGCTTTTCCTGATGTTTACATGGAATCTCCTATGCTCCAGTTTGCACCCATTGCCCCTTG